AGTAGCGGCGTATCTAGCTGAAGGTCGTGGGTTCGAATCCCGCTCGTGACATTGACTTTTTTATCTCAACTAAAAACCTTAATTAATTGAAAGATATTAATTGGTCAAACGGACCACGAAATCTGGTGAATTGTGAATGACTTATAATTATCTATAAGTGGGCTTAGTCCGTCCATTAATACTCTAAATTCTGGTTGACTAGGGTTGAAAGACTTTGGATTATCAGAAATTAACGACACTTGTTTGCCGACTGTTTGACTTTTTCGCTATCTTAACCACTCCCCTTCTTTTATGAACCTCTACCCTGTGGCGTTTTTTTCTTTTCAGGTCGAGACTCGTAAGAATTTTTGTGACTTAGTGAGTAAAGACTGCTTCAGGTCGGGGAATTCTTCTTGTGTCTCCAGTAGGTTAAATTTATTAGTTGTTACAACGGTGGAATGCAAAGAAGTTTCATATGTTTTAGCCTTTTTTTACTTCCAATAATTGGGAGTATTTTGGGAATTTACGATAATTTCACTTATGGTTGCCTGCACATTGCAGACAACTCACAGATTGAGTGCAGTTTTCCTCGGAATGCTCCTGTGAGCAATTAAGACATCTCTGACGACTCCTACACTGGTCTTTAACATGGTTAAACCACCAGCAGTTAAAACATTGTCTTATTGAAGGCACAAACGGTTCCACTTTGGATCTTGCGCCATAGATATGCATATACTCTGGCAGCGATTGTGCGTCAAAAGTTACAATGAAAGCGCTTAATTGAAAAGTTTTAATAATGCCTTTTTCATCAGTCACACGTTTTGTAAGTCGACGGATATTCTTTACTTTGATCGGTGAAACTGCATTGTTAAGAATTTCTTCTCCACTTATTTCCGATGAGACATTTCGAATAACCCCCGTTTTATTTACGAAAAATGAAGGAATGTAGCAATAAAGGATCTTTTTCTTTAAAAATTTCAAGATCGATTAAAGAGTTAGCCGATAAATAAGTTTTAGTCTCAATTTTTATTCTATTGCGGCCTCATACAGATATATTTACAATATTGGTTGTTATTTTTTTACTTAATTACCATATCACATCATTTTCCCTAGGATCATTGGGGAAAAAAAGAAAAAAAAGGACCTGAATCAGTGTTTTACAAATCTTTCTTTAAATAGTTTAAAGCTTCAAAACGTTTTTGTTTTCTGACGTGAGGATTGGTAGAATTATTCCCCGTATTATTTATACGCGCTTTATTAAACTGTGTAGGAACACTTTCCCTCGGGCGTTTTAAATTATCGTGAAAACTAATTTTCTCCTAGAGGGTAATACAGCATTAGTTTCCATATTTTCTAAAAACGGAATATTATTTAAGTCAGGAGTATTCTCCTTGCCTCCGCTCGATTGACTCATACTTTATCTATTGCTATGAAAACAGTCTTAAAAGAAATATAATTTAATAAATATTCAAAGCTACAATTAAATAAATAAATTATTACTTAGAGAACATTAACACAAATTCAAAGATAGTAATATCTTTCAATTAAAACTTTTAAATAATGTAGGCACATTTTCATTCTCTACTTTTTTCATATTCATGAATGCCATGTTGAACAGTTATCAAGTAGAATGGACGATTATGCCAGTCTCAACCTTAGACCCAATAGTGACTGTGTGATTTGAAGTCTGTTGTTATTTTTATTTCTGTTTTGAATAAGTCACACATCTGAAAACAAAATTTTCTCGGATGATACATCATTATTTCGGATGAATTTAATCGATTTATTACTTTTGGATTTTTTTCCAATGAAGCTCCTTTTCTTATTTAAGAATTAGAAGTATCGACCATTTTTCACTCATGAACACTCTTGATCAAGGTATGGTCTTGAAGAAAAAAAAGACCGACTCAGTCCCAACATTGCCAAGGACTGTAACAGTTCGTGGGCAGCAATAACTGAATTCGCTTTTTTCTTCAAGACCATTCTTTGATCCATTGTTTGTGAATGTAACTCCTGTCAGGGGTCGTTGTATGATTGGTACTTATCGGTGTGGTGACGTACAAAGAAATGGTGAAGGGAAAAACAGTGACGTCACACGAAAAAAATGGGCCAACCATGGAGTCGTGCCCGTGGGAGTCTCTCAGACACGATGGTGCAAGTGTCTGGGTAGTGGAGTGGAAGAGCTGTCAGCCCTAGTTGTGGGGGAGCTCTTAGACCCGATGGTAGCTAAGGATAGAGGAGGAGTAGGAGTAAAAATGTTCTACCTAAATGCCAACATATCTGTTAGATGTGTATTGTTTAGTTGTGGGTAGGAGTACAGTGGAAAGCAAGTCGTTACAACCAGGTTATCTTTGGAAAGTTCATACAAACGTAGGTTGTTGTTTGCAACTAGTCAAAGTTGTAAAAAACAAACCTGTGAGTAGAGCCATCCTTTACCAAACGTGAATCGACATATTCACCCTACCTTTATTATTTCTATAAAGTAGGTTATATAAAACCAGGTTGTGCTTGGAAAGATGGAGAGTAAACGTAGGTCATGTACAGCCAGGTTATGTTTAAAAATAGTGTTAAAAGGAATTTAGTACAACCAGATTAGGTTTAGAAAGCAATCAGGTTACGTATAATATAAGCATAAACAGCCAGATTATGTTTCTTAAGTTGCATAGAGAGGTTCTGTTAAAATATACCACGGATCATGCTTGTATCTGGTTGAGTGAAAATTAACGCTTATGGAAGTGAACGAAGAAACATGAGTTAAAATTTTAAATCAGAAGCTATTTATTGAAAAATCACATGTATTTTTTCGTTTTCGCGTGTTGGTGTTCCGTTTTGGCTGAAAAGATTGAATGTTTGTTTTGTTTTTTGTTGTTGTGTATTTGTCGCCGGCTGTGGGAAACGCGGTCGTGATGAAGAAGGCGTTCGTCTCCGTCCTGGTGCTGCGCACTGACGAATTCCACTGCTTCGGTTCGATCGTGAGCAAAAGGACAGTGCTCACGACTTGCAAATGTGTCGGCCATTTCACGAGGAACAACCGGAACGGCTACTACGAGTACAAGTACTACGACGTCAAAGAGTACGTCATCTGGACGGACATGAACAACAAACGTTACAACATCCATTCTGCCATCGTCTCGAGCCACTGCAGGCCGAGCGAGTGGTCGTCTGATGTGTTCGACTCCGACCTTGGAGGCTGGAAGATCGACGGTGCCTTCGATATGAATTTCTTGGCAAAGTTCATGAAGCCGAAGAAGAAGGGGACCGACGACTACGAGTCGCTTTACAGAGAGGTCCAGGGTCTCGCCTGCTTCATCTCCGTCCACAACGGGAGCGGGCTGGTCGAGATCGGGATCGAAATCACCCACGACATCCGGCCCTGCATCGACCTCTTCTGCTACCGCGTCGTCGGAAACAAATTCAAGTGGTCCTGCATCATGTCCTACATCAAGTTCAACCGGTGGATCAACGCTTGCCACATCATGAAGGTGTTCGATAGCAAGTGGCGCTACGACTCATCGCCCCTCTACTGCGAGGAAGCCGGCAAGTTCATCCTCCTTGGACAGGTCGTACGGCATGTCCATGATGTTTTGATCTGGGCGAGGACCGACTTGGAGCCCAACTCCGTCTTCTGGGAGCAGGTCGTCTCTTGGGGCGGGTCGGCCGCCGTCAACATCCGCGCCACAGTCGTCACACTAGTCGCCTGCTCCATTTTTCAATTCTACAACAGTCTTTCTCAATGAAAATATAACTATTTACTCTTCATCTAACCCATATGACAAAAAAAATCTATTCGTTTAAATTTATGACGGCTGACGTTTGTGGGCAACAATTAATTTTTTAAGGACAAAAATCACTACATTACATAAAAACAAATAAAAGATCAAAGGAAAATATTGTTGGGGCGGAATTTCACAATCAGGTTGTATCGATTATTGCGAACAAAATCTATATAATATCGATTGTCTTATCGATTAAAGGCGTCCATCTTTTAAATGTATAAATCGATCGCATTCAAAAATCGATATAAACCTATCGATGACAACTATTTTCTGTACAGTGGAGTATCGATTTTTATTATCAATCGATTCCATGATGATTCTTCGTTTGCAAAATTCTTGTGAAATTTCAGAAGGGGCACTACACGAATTTTCGATAGGATGAGAATCGATTTCTGGCTATTATCAATTCTTACCAATAAGATGGACGACGATTATTCACCTAATAATCGATATGGAAGCTATTTTTTCGCACAATCGATCAAAAATAATTTTAAATTATGATTATAATATTATATTTGTATTGGCATAATAATTATTAATAGAAATCGATTCTAAGAGGTACAATCGATAGCAAGAATTGCGATTCATTGTTTGCAAAAGTTATATGAAATCTCGGAAAGAGCGCTGAACGAATTTCCGATTGGTAACCATTATCGTTTCTTTTTAACAAGATGGATGGCGATTATCGATCAACAAATCGATATAAATCTATTTTCTAGTTGCAATCAAACAACACTACTAGCGATATCGGTGTACCTATTATTATTATTAGAAATCAGGTTTATTATTATAGATTTTTAAATTTTCTCATTTTTAAAACTTTTTTATAAAACAGGATAAAAAGAATTAATATGCAGTTTATTTCCACTTTGGTTCCGTCTAATGAATTACCCACCCGTTAAATGCGTTACAAATGTGATTATCCGGCTGTATTATCTTTTAATTGAAGCCTCAGAAGATTTTCTTGATCATATTGAACTATGTCGATATTGAACAATTTCTGACTTCGAATTTATTTGTTTGTTTTTTAGTGATGTCATCTCCGGTCAGACACCAAAAGTGGCTCGTGCCGATTTTCTACTCGAAAAACTCATCCTTCGCCTACGATCCTATTCTCGTATCGGACGTTGTGATCAAAGTATGATGGGTTTTATAGTTGGGTAATGACATCGGTGGATAGAATAGAATAAAAAGAGAGAAAGGTTTCGTTCAGACGTTATTTTATTTGTGTTTCTTTGTGACCTATTGTTTCATAATTTGTTGATGTCGTGATGAGCGGTCAATAATGAGGTAGTTTAGCATAATACACACTTGCACACAAAACGAACACACAAGAATAGTACAACACTTTATGACCTGAATAAAGGTCGAAACGTCGATAAAAAATGAAAAAGGCGTTTTTCTAAACTACCTCATTCTTGACCGCTCCTCACGGCTTAAACAAATGGGTTATTTTTTGTTTGAACACCTTCCATAAAAACCCCATTATTTATGACAAAAATCCTTTAGTGTATTAAACCTACAAAAAAATTGTAATTGTAAATAACCTTCTAATTCAAAAAGTGGACAGGTATTGATCAGTTTACATAACCTGGTTAGTACCTTGTTTCCGCAAACATGGACAGGTGTGATCTTATATATAATCTGGTTGTACGTCACCTTATAGTTTATAACGTGGACAGGGACGATCTTATATTTAACCTGGTTACATATAACCACCTAGTTTATACACTTAGTAATTATATGATCAGTTTATATAATCCGGTGATAACAACCTTGTTTTTTCCACTATTCTGAACAGTTATGATCTTATACATTACCTTTTAGTTTTTCACTTGGACAGGTATGATCTGCTTGGTCTGGTATTTTTGGTTGCGTATTAACCTCCTTATAACCCCATTGTTTTTTGTTTTGATTTTCAACCTGAACTGGTATGATCTTGTATATAACCTGGTTATACTTAAACTTCTAGTTTATAACTTGGGCAGGTATGATGTTATATATAATCTGACTACGTAAACTTCTAGTTTATACAGGTTATACAATTGACGGGTATGATCAGTATATAACATCGTTATAACCTTCTTCTTGTTCCGCTGGATAGTTATGATCTTAGATATAGTCTGGTTATACGTAACCTTCCAGTTTATAACCTGGACAGGGATAATCTTATATAAAACCTGGTTACACGTAACCTTCTAGTTTATAAATTTGACAGGTACGATCAGTCACAATCTCATTGTATGCCGCCCAACTTGTTTTTGTTTTGATTTTCAACCTAGAGGTATGATGTTATATATAACATCGTTATACATAACCTCAATACAAAATTACATAACGTGTTACATAATTATCTTGTATGTGTTTGAAGATAACTTAGATATCATAATTGATTTGTATAACTTGCCGTTTAGACTCCTTTCCGTATATTTTTAATACACGATTTTTTTCTAATAAATTTTTCATTCGGACAATTTATTTACATACAACCTGTGCGTAATTTCCGAACATCTTATAATGTTGTTTTATTTACACAGTTTATTTACAAGAAACCTGTTTGTGCTTAACCTCTAAACACCATGTCGTTCTTGCGTTTTTAGTACAACCTTTGCATAACCTCTTGGCATGTATTTACACAGCCTTTGCAAAAAAATATCTCGTTCACCTTGGTCGACACCTTCTAGGACATCTTTTAAGGGCAGTATCACCCTGTTTAACATGCGAATCCTTCACACGTACTAGATATGTAAGTGCTATACCTTTAAATAAATTAAGATTAATAACCTTTTACAATAAATTTTGCCTTTTGAGGGTTTCTTTCTGTGTTAAATCTTTCGCTCTCTTTAAAAAATATCTCTTCATAAAATATATCTTATTTAAAGCTGTCTGGTCCTTTGAAATTTTTTTTCTCACAATTCAGTGTTCTTGATCCCTGAGGGCTCCTCCTCGTGTCAGACTCTCGTCCTGGGGACAGAAAAAAATTATTGTGTGTTAAACAGTTTTTTTTTGTGTGTTTTCCTCCTTGGGATAACTACTCGGGTGGTAGCTCCGGGGGCTGCGGGCACGCGGCGCTCACGAAGGCCGAGTTCCTTCTCGGGGTGAACTGTCCCGGTCGGAGCAAGAAATAGATGTAGACACTCTTCTTGACGGCGGCGCGGACCTCGCCGTTGAGAAAGCAGTATAGGACGGCGACGAAGAGGCCCTGGAAGCTGGTTAGGAAGTGGGTCGTGTAGGACCAGGCGGCGAACTCCCACACCTGTCGGTCCAAAGGGGCTTCCATCATGTTTACCAAGTTGGTGATGCCGAGGAGTGGCAGGAGAACGACCGCAGCCCTCACTGCTTTCCTGCAACAGATTAGGACGAGTTACTAATAACCAGATTATCTTCAACCGTTTGTTACATGAGAAGTCGAACATGAAATGAGAGAGTATATGAAATCCAAGTTATAATTTTTGATTTTGTAAACCAAAGGTATCAAAACCTGGTCGTAAATAACCTTCTTATACGGAACCCATTTACATGTCATCCGGTTCTAGAAAATCTTTTTGCTTTATAACCTGCTTACATACATAACCTAGGTATGGACCTGTTTTAATGGGGTACGGGCCTACTCAGGCTTTTAACCCCTCGGGTCCTGGTCGCCCGCCCTGTGTAATATATATGGACCTGTTTTAACATAACCTATTTGTGGAATGATTGATAGCTGGCCTATGTTTAGCCTAATCATGGATCACCCATTTGTGAATAACCTGGTTATAATTCACCTATGTTCAGATAGCATAGCTTACAATAACCTACTAGCGAATAACTTGGCTATTAATAACCCTATGAAGGGGGCGTCGGTGGCCGCAAAGTTTAGGCGTTGACCTGGCGCTCATCACTGTAAGGTAAAGGTCCTGAGTTCGAAACCAGCGGCCCTGCGTTCGAAACAGACATACTTGTAAATGGGCTTTTTTCAGAAACACCGGCACCCTGAGTGTTGATACAACCTCTGCATATGCGAACCCTCGTAAAAAGAAGTAAGTAGTAATCATTTTTGTGGATAACCTATGGAAAGATAACCTGGTTAAACATTACCTATTTGGGCATCACCTGGCTCCTAGATAACCTAGGGAAAGATAATCTGGTTAAACATAACCTACTCGTGCATAACCTGGCCAGTCATGACCAATGGAAAGTGTAGTTATGTAGATTACCTATTTGTGCGCAATCTAGGTATAGATAACTCTTTTTGTGCATAATCTAGCAATAAATAACGTACGGAAAGATACTGGAGTTAAAAATAACTTATGTGTAAATAACCTGATTTTTAGACAACTGATTCCACATAACTTGGCTATATTTGACCTATGAAAAGGTACAAATGGCACGTTTGCATTTAACATTTTTTTAATTTTACGTATATTTTGGGTGTAATTACCTCGCCTGTTCTACTTCGCTCGTCCGGCTTTGCCTTAGCTTTACAACCAGGACCCTTATGATGTTGAGGAGGAAGAGGAAGTTGAGCTGTGAAAAAATATTTATGTTTAAACACTTTGTTATCAGTGATTAGTGATGCACCCTTACGAGTATGACGGCCACCCTTGGGCCTTCGAGTATCCAGAAGTATATCGTAAAGTTATACCCCCACCAGCACTTTGTCTTCATCTGGGACGCGGATATGGCGGCCCAGGTTGCTGTCATCGCGACCGGGACACCCCAACCGATCCCCGTGTATAGCCTGTAGTGGAACTTCTCCTGGAACACCCTCACTTCCGGGTAGAGGGAGGAAGGGTTACATAAATACCCGTAAAATAACTTAAAAGAAAACCACCCCCTCACTATCAAAACCGCTACCCCCACGTTGCGCAACGCTGTTATGTCATTAATTAAACGACCGTTGCACAACTCTGACATAAGATCCAGAAATAAAATAAATATTTATTCAAGGAAGGAAAATTTAATAAAATTACCAGTGACTACGTTGTGGAGGTAGAGGCCTTCGATGAACATCCACATGAACATGGCTGTTCTGGCGTATTCAAGCAGGACGTAGGCTGCTTCACACAGAATCGGCTGGAAAATCGATTTTTTAGTACTTATGTACAACCTAAGGGAAAGATAACCAGTTTCAACATATCCTACTTGCACATAACATGGCAACTCAATCTATTTTTAAATAGCTTTGTTAATAAATAATCTATGTACAACTCCAATTATTCTAAACATATCCTGGTTGAGGTTATGTCCCTAAATTTAATATAAATTTACATATAATTTTACTCTTACAAAATGTGTCTAAGCATAACCTGATTGTTAAAGTCATACATACTTGATTGCGGGTAACCTACTTCTCCCAAACATTTCAAACATGTTTTGTGTAAACCATGTTATGTTAGTAGTTTTTAGTAGTAGTTTTCTTCGTACTCGCTTTCCAAAAATAGCCTGGTCGTTCATAACCTACTTCCTCATAACCAGGCTATAAATAACCCCGGACAGATAACCTGGTTTAACACTACCGGTATATAACCCATCGGTGCATAAACACCCGAAAAATAAACGATGGACAGATAACCAGGTATAACAACGTAATTGAACATAACCTACCTATAGAAAACCTTTGTACAGATAACCTGGTTAAAGATTTCTAGGTAAAGCATAACCCGGTTATAGATAACCTATAGACAACCCCCACCTTTTCAAACATAGCCTGGTTGAGCATAACATTCTATATAAATATATGTATAATCATACTCTGACAAAATGTGTCCAAGCATAACCTGGTTCTGTATAACCTACTACTGCCTAAACCTTTCCAACTCATTTCCTATAGCATACTTTTATCAAATTTTTATAACTATAAACTGATTGTACGTACGTGTAAAAAGATAACCTAGCCCCGTAATCGTCCCAGACATAACCTGGTTTTCATAATCTAATTTACGCTCCAATTTATCTAAAAATAACGTGAATATAACTCACTTATGCATACATAGTCTGTTTTAACATAACCTATGTACAAATAACGTGGTTTAACATGATCTAATTTCACGTAACCTGACTATAATAACCTATGAATAGATCACGAAAAAGATAAGATAAAAAGATAACATGACCTACTCGAACAATGTTAAAGCCTGGTTAACCTGGTTAAAGATAACCTATATACGATATAACTGTGACGATATAAGACCTAAATGCAAATAACCTGATTCAAAATTCAAAGCAGTGCGAAACCTACTTACAATTAACCAATGGGCTGACAATCTGGTTTAACTTAAACTATTTCAGCATAACCTAGTTATAAATAACCTAAGCGCGGATAACATGGTTTAATATAACTTATACGCACATAACCTGGTTGTTGAAGGCCTACAAACAGATAACCTTGTTTAACAAAAACTTCTTGCGCATTACCTAGTTGAAGATAATCTATGGACAGATCACGTGGTTAAAAAGATCCTGGTCAATTATTTTATTATATGNTATATATATATATATAATTTTATTTTATTTATTGCTATCTGTGCGGTGGGTTAGATAGAAGGTCACGAGGCGATCTCGTTTTAAACGGCGCGGAGGATTGAAGGGTGAGATGTTGAGGAAAGAGTTAGGGCTAGTGGATTAGGGTGGAGGGATAGTTTAAAATGGAAAGTGATGAAGCGGGTTCGGATAAGATCTTTCACGAAAGGGATTTTAAGATCTTTATGGATCGTTTGATTGGTGACATAGAAACGAGCATTGTGGAACGGCGGAGAACTTTGGATTGAAAAGATTGATTCGTTGGATAATGGATGATTTGGCCGAGCCCCACAGCTGGACTCCGGTCCAAATAGGTCTGATGTGTTTTTGTAAGCGGTTAGTTTGTTATACATGCTTAGTTTTGATTTTGATCCAAGTAGGTTCTGAGTTGTCCATATCTTTTGTTAAGTTCTTCCGTTTTAACCTTGTATGTGGGTTCCAAGTAAGTCTACTATCTAAGTAAAGCCCAAGGTAGCGGACTTGGTTCGATGGTGGTATTATCTTGTTGTAAATGTGTACTGGTGGACAGGTTTGACGTTTTAGCGTAAACCTAACGTGTTGGCTTTTTTGTTCGTTTATGGCATTGCCATCGCAACCTTGCTCTTCGTTTGGAGGAAAGGTGTACGGATATATTCGGGAAGGTGAGAATTCTGAGAGGACTTTTGTTGGCGTGGAGAATTTTACTTGTGAGAATACTGACAGCTTGTTCTATTTGGTTACCAGTTTTAAGCGGAATGTTTATGTTTAAGGTATTATTATTGTTATGTTGAAATAGTTTCCAGTCACTGCTGACAAAATGATCGGGAACTGAGGAAGGGAAATAGAAATTGGGGTGTGTTGATAGTAGTCGGTGCTTTCAGAGGGAAGAAGGTGATTGGAAATAGTGTTTTTGACTAGGATTGCCGTGCCACCTTGGGCTCTTTGTCCTGTGAGAGATGTTTTGTAAGTTGTGTATCCGTTTATGTATTGTGTTTCTGTCAGGTGTGTTTCTGTTAGTAATAATACGTTAATATTTCTATCGTTTATTAATGTTTCTAGTTCAAGTTTGTGTTTTAGTAATCCATTTGAATTTCAGAGAAGAACTGTGAGGGTCCTCGGAGGGATCATCGGGAAACTTTAGGAAGCAATTCGGATACAAGGGTTGATATGAGTGGGGTAATTAAGGATTTAAAGTTGTTTAAGAAGGAAGTGAGGTTGTCCATGATGTTGTCAGTGGAAATTGGGGCGGGAGTGGGGTAGGAATAGTTGTTCTGACAGATCTACATGCCACTTTGACGTGCTGAGCTGCTGATTGATTGCCCAGTGTGGTTCGCTAATAACTGGTGGTCTTCTTGTCAAGGGCTATAGATGAGGTCTGGTGGTACCCGCTGTTAGTGCATGGTTTGGTTCGGTTGTCATTTTACTGAATGCTGCCGGCGTTGTCCTGGTTGGTGAAGCAGGAACGGCTGAGTATCTTTGTTGTTCTGCCTATGTATTTGTATTCACTGCAAATCTTTATGGGTGGACATCGTCGGTAGTTGGCTGGGTGTGCACCGCCATATAAAGCGCAAGTGGCGGGTGAGGTTGGTGGTTTGACGAAGTTAAAAGAAAGGTGAGGTCCTGCACACTTGACGCATTTAGGATGGTGGCAGCAGTATGCCCTACCCCCTGGTATGGCCATATTTTTGGCATTTAGTGCATTGCGTGATGTTTCTTTGTCTGGGCTCTTCTATCGTTGTTTTAGTGTAGATGAGATCTGTAGTTTGAAAATATCCGAGTTATTTTTATTCTGTATAATATCTACAAAGAAAAGAGGGGTGCTACAAAACAGTTCGGGTGATGGGGTGCTGTACTTGGTGTACCCTTTTGACACCAAATACTAGTTTTAAAATTTCAGACTTTATTTCGTCGGTTGTGGGATGTAGTCCTCGTATGACGATTCTGAAACATTTGTCTTCTTTTAATTGGAAAGAATGAAAGTCGTATTGTTTCTCGTTTAGGTATTTTAGTGTCTTCCTTAACTGGCGGTGTCGTGAGTTTGCAATAACACGTCGTTGGCACGAGTACTGCAATGGAATGTATTAGCTTCAATGCTTCTTGCAATGTTACTGCAAAAATCAGTAGTTTTCTATGTTATTTAAAATTATTGGAGGTAGTTTCACGGATTGAACATTTTCTTGAGCGGCATCGTTTATTTGATGGGGTTTGGCGACGTTCAGATCGTTATCAATCTTCGTGATGTCCTTTTGTTTCATTTTATTTTTTGGTGATAGTGATTGGCTCTGGTTGGTTTTTTTTATATGTTCTTTTACGGAGGGTGACTTGTTTAAATTGCGGTTGTATCAGAAGTGTCCGTTTCAAGGGCTGTGTCATAGCAAATCAGTGCTGAAGTTTGAGAAGAGTGCTGTGTAGTTGGAGGATTTTCTTTGGCGATCGACTGATTCATCGTTGGTCGGTGTTTAATTAAGAAAGAATTGTAGGGATTTCCCCAGTAAATTATTCTCACTTCCTTTTTGTTGTATCGTTGCTAGGATACCGGAGCAGATTTTTTCTTTCTTATTAACTTCACATTGTACACTATTCACACGAAGAAAGAAGAAAAATGATGTTCATCACTAGTAAAAATATTAATAACTATATGTACCTGAATGACACTAGTAAAAAATAAATTGAAAAAAAAACTTGTTTAAAATAACTGAAAATGCTAGTTAAACACAGAGCACAGAAACTCTGTCAGATGTGTTAAACACAGAGTTCAGATGTCGACATCTAATTTGACTGGTCAGCTGTTAGCTTTGATTTTATTTCACATAATTTCTCGTAACCTGACTATAAATAACCTATATACAGATCACATCGTAAAAGACCTGGTGAAACACAACCTTTTTTTAACTATACAGTATTGGCTCACTGTATCTGTTTATCAATCAGGTTTTTGGACCAAGGTCATCCTCCCAAATCCATAAATGTACGGAAAATTAGTAATAGATAACACGATTAACCATAATCTTTTTATAGTTGACCTGATTTTACAAATATCCAGGTTATAGATAACCCAATTAAACATGAACAGTTCATTATTCTCAATTATACAGGCAGTAGTAATCCATCTTATAGTAGAAGGTACTAACCGTGTTGTCGATCCCGTGCGAACGTGAATTCTTCGACCTTATGACCGCCTGGTCTATATAGAGGGTGAGGCGTATCACGACCTGAGTTATCATGGCTACGAATAAATTCTTGTGTATTTTGGTCCTGTTGTTCTTCAAGACCCTGAAATAAGAAAATATGACGAGTGACACGATCAGGGCGGCGAGGGAGACGCTGAACCCGACGAACTCGAGGCTCCTCGTCCTCTCGGCTATTTCTATCTTCATCTGGGAAGAGATAAATATAAATTTTAGTTTTTTTAAATTTTTAAATTTTATATCGTACCTCGGCTGCGTCTTTGGGCGAAGAACCGGAGAAAAGCTTGCGGTAGAGGTGGAGCATTTCAGTGCTGTAGCAAGGCGTGTAGTTGGTCCAGCCGGCCAGACCTTTTCCCTCCCATCGGCCCGTCTCCAGGCATTTCTTCGTCACGTATCCTGAGAAAAAATGTTTGAAATAAAAAAAAAGCCTACGGTCTGTCTAAAAGTGTACTCTTTTGTAAGAGGCCCCATCATAAATCGTAAATCCTCTAATATCTCCATAAAATAATCGACATACTATTTTATGGGATTTTCTCTTTTTGTAAAACATTCGATTGTTAGTCAAAAAAAGAAATTTTAGCCAAATACAATGAAAGGAATCAGATCCAGATTCTAAAGTTCTACCGTAAGGTGGCTCTTCATAAAACATAAATCCGTTAATTTTTTCATAAATAACCGACTGAATTTCAATAAATTTACTACATAATTTTTAAAACGTTTGATTGCTAGTCTAACAACGATATTTTTAGAGATAGCGATAGGAATAAGATTCGAGCGATAAGTGTACGGTTTGCTTCTTCATAAATCCTTTAATATTTCCATAAATATTTGACAGAATTTTATGGGATTTTCTATTTATGTCTAAAATCGAAATTTTAGTAAAATCCGATTAAAGAAATCACATCCTGAGATTGACATAGTGTTCTTTGAGATGCCACTCAGCCTCTTAAAAACACAAATCTGAAAATCTAGTTGGAGTGCCCCTCCATAAAGAGGCTAAACGTGTACTGTTTTGTAAGGGGGCTCCTCTATAAATCATAAATCCACCAATGTTTTCATAAATAACCGAATGAATTTCAGTAAATATGCTACATAATTTTTAAAACATTTGATTGCTTAAGAACGAAATTTTTAGAGAAGCAGGCTTACAGAAATCAGATCCAGGTTCTAAAAGTGTTCTGACTGCTGGAGAGCCCCCTTCCATCACTATCTTTATAAATAATCGACTGAATTTTATGAAATTTTCCAGATTTGTAAAACATCCGATTTTTATCCTGGAACGAAATGTTAGCAAAATCCGAAGAAAGGAATCAGCTCCAGGGGGTAGTGACTAACATTATGCTGTTTTGTAACGGGGCACCCTACATAAATCTTAAATCTGTCAATTACTTCATAAATAATAGACAGTATTTTATCAAATTTTGTGTATTTGTTGTCAATTGTTAGTCTTTGAGCAAAATCCGGCGAAAGAATCAGATCCAGAGACAAAAGTTTACTGTTTTATAACGTGGCCTCTCCTTAATCATAAATCATTCAGTACAATCATAAATAATTGACAAAATTTCATGAAATTTAGCATAGTTGCGAAATGTACTTATTTTCCAGTCGATGCTCGAAATTCGATCCGTATCGCATGAATACAAAGAACTTCTGTGTCTAAAAGTGTGCGTACTCTCATGTAAGATGCCTCCTCTATAAATCATAACTGTTTAAGTATAACCAAAGATAATTGGCAGAATGGCATGAAATTTGGCTTTGTTGTTAAATAGTTGTCCCTTCGTCTTAACAAAAGGAAAAAAAAATATATATATATACGCGAGCGAGTTACGCCCCATGTCAAAACGAACACATCTTAATAACTAGACGAACTCGATTTAGGACCGGATTGTCAAATAGGTCGAAGACAAATTTGATTATCAATGACTTCTTTGTCTTTAAGGCAATATAATAAGACGACTTTAGCCCTAAAGCTGTTTGATTTACGACAAATTTTGGTAAGACAAAGGTAATAAGTTAAATGATTATCTAACTTTTTAAATCTGTCGAGTTTATGCATAAACTAACAATGAAATGAACAATGAGAAGGTCCGAAGCATTCGTGTGTCGAATCTATTAGTACATTTCAGTTGTTTTCTAAAGTCTAGTACATTAGGCAAAACGAACATATATAACAATGAAATATTTGACGAAAAGACAAAATTGCATAAAATTCTTTTGATTATTTATTCTTATATTGGAAGATTTATGATTTATAGAGAGGGCTAAAAAAAAGTTTATTGTCCCGATCTGATTCTTTTGAATCGATTGTGCTCAAATTTTATTCCATAAACTAACAATCGAATATTGAACAAACATACAAAATTGAAATGATAAATGATGGAGTGTGTGTGGTGTTCAATCCTTTTTAAAAAGATAGTTCCTACTCACAGTAAGTTGTTTACGTCTCTCGACATGAATTGCAAATGTGAACCCGCTGATACCCCCCCCCCCAACGCGACGTTCCAATTAGCAGTTGGTTTTTTAATAGCGCTCAATTTGAACGTGCGAAACGCGGAAACTATAACACATATAAATATTATAATAGTAAATACTTAATATTATTAAATTACTATAAAAATAATAATAATTAAAATAATTTATTTATTTATTTGGACGTTTAGTATTATTTATGTACATATTTAAAATAGGGAGGTAGATGAAAATCTGTTATATTATTAATGCATTTATCTCCATGTTCAATTTTACATTTTTTAATTTCAAATTTCTCAAACCAGTCTAGTTCTTTCCCTTTGTTGAAACTATGTAACACTGTTGTATTTAAATTTAGATTGAAATTATGTTTTGTTTCTTTTAGATGGTCCTTAAATTCCGAAAATTTGCTCGATTTAGACAAGTGTTCTTTTACTCTCGTTTTTATTTCTCTACCGCTTTGTCCTATATATTTAATATCACAATCATTACAATTGAGTTGGCAAACCCCGCTTTTTCCCAAGTTGTCTACCTTGTCTTTAGGTTTTGAGAGGATGTTTTTAAGTGAACTCGTACTTCTAAAAGCTATTGTAAAACCTTCTTGTTTAAAAATTTTACTAACTTTTTCCGATAATTCACCAATGTTTGGCAAACAACAGAAACCTAATGATTCATTTGTGGTGGGGTGGCTGAGTCCTATTGTTGATTCGTTTAAAGTTTATTTTTTTATTCTTTTAACTAGCTCTTATTCTTTTAACTTAATAAATATTTCTAGATACCCGTTGTTTTTTGCCAAGGTTTTAATAGTTTCATAGATTAGATAGTAGGCATATATTTAAGAGGTCTATTATATCATTTTATAAATATGTACTATACATTTTTAAATATATACTATCTAATTATTGTAAATTCAATAATAAATTTTACGAAATGAAAGGGTTACCAATGGGGTACTATCCCAATTTTGTGCTGAAATATTCATTCATTTTTTTTCACTTTTTCTTTTCATTCGATTTCGACCAGATTTTGAGTTCATTCAGGAAACCAAATATTTAAAAAGTGTGCTAATTTCATAAAAATCTATCGAATTTTTATTGTTATATTTAAGAATTTTGATTCATGGAGGGACCACATTAAAAAACAGTACACTTTTTGTCTCTGGATCTGATTCTTTTGAAACGATTTCACTAAACTTTTGTTCATTACACAAAAAATTAAATGATTTAATAAAAATAAATAAATTCTGTCATTTGTTGAAATATTTACCTCCCTCTCGGGTAAAATTTCGGCGATAAACGACCCCTGTTTTGCATGAGGCGGGCCGAGCCTACTATAAATAGACAGACACACGGTCTTTTTTCGATAGATGGAAAAAGAAAAAAGGAGAATAAAATCCAGGGGTACCCTTTTGTTGCTAATTGCTCCACTTTCGTCTCTTTTTCAAACCCCGTTGGGAGCTCCTTTTCGTAGGATGCCGGATGGCGTCGTCGATCCCTCATTCATCCGCGAATCCCTCGGCGTTTTGTCGTTCTTTCATCCGCCTTACTAAGTCCCTGATGAAGCCGACATTCGTCGACGCATTGTTGAATTTTATCGCGACTTTTTTCCGAGGGGCTTGTTGTCTTCCTCATGATCAAAAGTTACAAGTCGATCGAGGGTACTTAACCAAGTATGAGCGGCGAAGTATAACAGGATAGCAATTCTTTGCAATCCGCTTGACTTTCTACTGTGACTTCTTTCGTTCTTTCTTCTCACTTAACATGTTTTCTTTGGTACAAGAACATCCCTCTCATTTTTCTTTATTTTGTTATTGATTATTGATCAGTAATGATCAATGAGTGAAATTATGCTTTGAAAGTTCGAATACGTTGAGGTTTTACATGTTGGTTGTTTTTTTATTATCTGTGCTCTTGATGTAAAGGAAGGGGGGTCACAACCCTTATCAAACCCCACTGCAATGGAAAGGGAAAACCAATTATGCCATAAGATACAAAAACGGAGCACTACCTTCGTCAAACCCCATGGCGGCAGAAGGGAAAAATTACGACGTCATATAATAAAAATGGGGTCATAACCTTCGTCAAACCCCATGGTAGTGGATGGGATAAAAAGTGACGTCACATGGTAAAAAAGAGGGAATTAAAACCATAGTCGAACCCCATGATGGTAGAAATAAGAAACTCATGACGTCACATGATAAAAGAAGGGTGTTGATCAATGAGTGAAATTATGCATCAAAAGTGTGAATTCGTTGAGGTTTACTTGTCAGTTGTTTCTTATTATCTGTGTTCTTCACGCCGAGTAAAGATTCATTCCTCTCCCTCTCACCTTCTCTCTCTCTCTCTCTCTCTCCCTCTCTCCCTCTCTCCCTCTCTCCCTCTCTCTCCCTCTCTNCTCTCTCTCTCTCTCTCTCTCTCTCTCTCTCTCTCTCTCTCTCTCTCACTTATACTCAACCACTTTTTGAGTCTGATCTTTTTTTCATGGACTTTCACGGCGCTCAAATTATGCTAAACCTTCTCGACTAACCGGTTGTGAAACTTGAGAACAGCACCACTCGCTCCCTTTCCCCGGTCTCCACCGTACAATTAACCCTCCAACAAACTACCATTGAATTCCTTTTTTCTCCACAATTAAAGTGAAAAAGTACGATCCAGGGACGACGAAAGGTCAGATGGCCATTAGTTTTGTCGATCGAATCTCCCTGGGGTTGAGGTGGTCGTATCAAATCAACGAGAATTTTAAATTTTCATTTCATCTACTGCTGTTTCACGGGAGGGAGAAAAAAGGAAAGATGTTTTTTTACCAATCTGACCAGAATGAAGCTTTATTTCCTTATTATTTAATTTTTCTCACTTTTTCCTCAATTCTACACCTGTATAAAATCTATATACGTGTATTTTCGGTTTTCGAGTGGAAACATATTGAAATCAAGAACCCAGAGAAACAGCCGACAAAGGAAAATAAACGGATTCAAATTTTTGAACGACCATTTCACTCATTAATGAACATAGCTCAATATCAATAGTCAAAGAAACAAAGTAGTAAAATAACAAAGAACCTTGTCTTTTTATTATGAAAAAAATCAGTGTAAAATTAAAATCTGATTTGTAACGAAGAAAAAGTTCTTGTGTGTGTGTTTTTTCCGAGAAGGTAATAAATTTTAATATATTTTTGAATCTTCATTAAGGCTTTAAAATTTCTCTCTTTTTTTCTCCTTCATCGAATAATGATCCGTGAAACGCTTTTTAGTGCCTACTACCCCCTGGGGGGAGCATCTTATTTGCAAACCATGAAAATAGCCTTTCTTCTTTTTATTGGAGAAAATAAAAAAAGAAAGAAAGGGGGTGAGAAATCGAAGCGTAATTTCGATGAGAGGGTTGCTGAGTAGAAGGTAAAACCGCACCCTGCCCCCCGTCCCACCGTCACCATAAACCAAAAACACACGTCGGAGTCAGTAATTAATTACAAACAAAAGTTGATGTGTCAAGACCATTTATTTTCGAAATGGAGAAAGCCCATACCAAATTTAAACAACTGTCGGATCAAACGTCTAAAATTGGCCTGGACTGCTCTTTCCGTTCGCCCGGCTCCGGTTTTTCGAACCCGAAGAGTCATAGAAAGAAATATTGGCAATGATACCATCTTACACCTCGACGTAATGGCTTACCTGGGGTGGTAGCAATGTTGCCAACATACACCTCAGCATAGGTTCCTTCTTGAGTTAGTAACAATGTTACCAATTTACACCTCAATATAATTGTTTACTTGAGGTGATAGCATTGTTACCAACTTACACCTCAATATAATTGCTTACTTGAGTTAGTAGCAATGTTGCCAATTTACACCTCAGCATAATTGCCTCTATCTGAGGTCGTAGCCATGTTGCTAACTTACACCTTAACATAATTGTTTATTTGGGGTGGTAGCAATGTTGCCAACTTAAACTTAAAATATCCTTTTACCGCATTTATTTTTTCCTTGATAGCATGGATGAATAAATAATATGGGAAAACGAAACGAAGCTCTTGGTGATGTCAAATCCGGAAACTCATCAATACCTCCATGCTTATCATGTTAAAAGCCAACACCTTTGCTTAATTGTATCCAATTTCTGAAATTGGCTCTGATTCAACGCTACAGATTTTGATTATTAATCGTGTTTAGCAGACTCGAATGTTTTTTCATTAACGATAAAGCAAACAAAAAGATCGCCTTTGTCATCGAGACATGGTAGAAGTAATATTTGAAGAGTAAATATTCCTGAATCCAATTTGGGAATTTCCATGGCTCTTCGCACGTGTTTTTGTCTTGTAAAAATAATTTATGTTTGTGCAACATTAAACGATTTTCTGATATTATTAAAAACTTTTTGTATTAGATTTCTTAGGAAGTGTTATAAAAGTGGATCGAGCCGCACTGTGAGATGATAGATTTTGTATACATATTGGATCTATTCGATATTTGCTTTTGATAAATCGACCGAAATGGGGCTTATTGGAACGAAGAGAACAGTGACGTCACATGTCAAAAAAGGACGAGTAAAACCTCTTCAGACCCCATGGTGGTAGAAAGAAGATAACAGTAACGTCACACAATATAAAACGCACAATCGCGTACACAGCTATGTGTCTGATACTATTTGTCTGATTCGTAATCAATTTTTAAGGAATTATTCGGGTTGCTTTCTAGCTGATCCCTATGAATTTTATTCCAAACGGATTTAAAATATGCGCATGTGCATGGTCATAATGTGAGGATGCTGTACTGTCCCATTTGGCAGACGTATTTTCTGCTGCACTGTATAGGGTAAACTTGAGGTATCGCGTCTTCTTTGCTCAATATTCCAATTTTCGCGGTCAAGCTACGGGTAACCTTTCCACATTCTTCCACCCCTTTCGGCCTCCCCGCGGTCGTAATTTCTTGCTACGTCTCCCTAATTGGATTTTGACGGGCCGCCAGTTTTAAGGGGCGTCGGAGCGGAAACAATCGGATTTACGGGATCATTGCCCGGCCAATTAGACCGCAATTTATCAACCGGCCGCCGATTGTTTTGCCACTGACGGGGAAATGGGGACCACAGAGAAAGGAGGAAAAGTTCGGCGGGACCCTCCCTCCTCTCCGGACAGCAATATTGTCTAAGTCCGCGAAGTTGGGGGACTTTTTTAAATATTAAAGTAAATAACTTTTCTTTCCCCTGCGGCATCTACCAATAACGATTTTTCATCAGAGCTTTCTCAGAAATAATTTTGATGTGAGGTCCGCCAGGACTTTTAATCAAATGTCAAGGTACAGACCTTCCAATTTAAAATGGTAGTCCCTCCACACGGTACACTTTGTCCGACATCCTGAAAAAGGAGGAACGTATTCGAATGAAATTTGGCGAAATTATTATAAATTTGACCTGTGGGATTTTGGACAAATTTCAATAAAATTGGTCCTAACCTATCACCACCGGTATACCGCCTTGAGTGCTGCTCCTCCTAATATAAAAGCTATATTTTCAAATGCATCCAAACTCTGTCGATAGATATTCAAGAAATTTGGGAAACCTCTTAAAAATTAACCTTTGACATTTTAACAAGATTTCAATTAAATTGGCTTGAAAGGAATTATCACCAGGTTCTGCAACACCCTGAAAGAGGCTTCATTCATAAAACATAGATTTTTTAATGTATTTTATGGAATTTGGTGAAATTGTTAAATTGTAGATCAGTTTAGCAAAATTTCAATTAAATTGGTTGAAAGGGATCTTCACCAGAGTCTAAAAACTGCATCGTCCTGTGGGTGCCCCTCCAGAAAACATACATTTTTTAATATCTCCAGACATAATCAACATAAATTCATGAAATTTGGCCCTCTTAAAAATTGACCTTTGATATTTCCGCGAAATTTCAATCAAATTGGCCGAAAGAAATCCCCACCAGAACTCAAAACTGCATTGTCCTATGGGTGTCCTTCCTTAAAACATACATACTCGAATATCTCCACATACAATTGAAAAATTTAATTAAATATGGGAAAACCGTTAAACAGTTAACCTTTGAACTTTCACTAAAATTTCAATCGGTGGACAGAAGTTGTCACCAGTTCTTAAACATCAACGTCCTGGCGAGGTGCCCCTCCAGAGAAAGATGCATTCTCACATATACATAATCTATTGAATTTCAGGAAATTCGATAAATTGTTAAACTCTATTTTTGACATTTTGACCAAAATTTAATCAATTTAGCCGAAAGGAATGATAACCATGATCAAATTGCATCGTCCTGTGATATGCCCCTCCATAAAACATACATTCTTAAATATTTTTGTACATACTTGACATAATTTCATGAAATTTGGCGGAATTCTTAAAAAATGGACCTTGACCTTAGAACGAAACTTCAATAATATCCGCCTAATTGAAACAGTGCCCTAATGTTTTATCGCTCCCAAAGTCCCCGTGGGACCTGTTTCTTTTAAAACTACAATTATTTGTCAATATTAATTTTTTTAGAAGCCCGGGAGTCAATTATTGACCAAGCTTGATATACCCAATGGGGTTTGGAAGTGCATTTTTCCCGTAAACGTTGGTTCTCATAGGTGGCCCCTCAGCTATTTTTCGTCTTTAAAAAAAGGCTCTACAACACTTTGTTCGAATTGGACAAAATTCGACACGCGGATTGAATATTTCGTGTGCAAAGCGTGGGTGAAATTTTACGTAGATGGGCCATCAAGAAGGTGGTTGTAGCCGTCCCAACCTACCCCATGGGGGGGGGGTTGATTTGTCGGATTTCTTACAGGATTCCACCCTCCACTCGATCCTTATTCGAAATTGAATCAAAATATGGAGGAAAAAAACGTCAAGGGTAGGTGCAATTTGCGAATTGAGGTGGAATCGAGCAATTACGACTACAATAGACCTATTTACATTTGAAACCCTTGTTGTGCAATTTGAAAAATAAAAAGTTAATTTAAAAATAAATATAATTATAGCTACAGATTATAGTTTTTTTTAGCTTCAAGAGTTGAGTCTTATATAATTAGCGTTTCAACGGATTAAAATGGAAGAGGCGATAGTCTAATTTTCCCCCTTTTGTAAAGTGGGAATCGTTTGTCCGGGTGAAAATTACGTTTTCCTGTGTCCGCTAATTTTCAACCCTTTGATTCTTTCTTCCTTTCTCACGGTTGTAAAGCTCTGGATTCTTATATATAAATCTCCACGTGGCAATGCCATAAGTGCTATAGGCGAGGTCTGATTGGCAATCAAAATTGAAAAATTAAAAAAAAAATTGAAGGGCGCAAACAAACATTGTTAAAAGCAATTAATTTGTGCTTGTTTAATTAATTTAATGGCCTTCCCCCACCTATCCCAAAACCCTGGGACAATTAAGTATTCAAATTAAATTACGGGAATCCGGAAAGTTGAGGAAATTTAAAAGCCCACCCCTAAAAAATGTACGACTTCCTTTTTTTCAAATATTTTAAAATACTTACTTGTCGTATCGAGTCCGAGGTGATACGGGCAGCTGAGGGAGCTGACGGACCCTCTGCGGGTCGGCGGCCAGCAGAGGACCTTGTCCCAAACGGCCGGACAGTACTCGTCTGTAAAAAATGTTTAAACAATATTAAATATGACGGGTTAACAGGTCGTTTTGTTCGATGAGGGTTGTAATTCTAAGATGACGAAGGGCGAAGGGTGGCCCTTTTCACCAGCCCCCCGTCAGCGTTTTTCGAGTGGGCCACTTCAAGTATTTTCGCAATTCATAAAACTCTTTTCTTTCCAAAGTTTCCAACTCCCCTAACGACCGCGGGGCTTTTAAAACAGGTTCGCATTTAGAGCGAGGCAAGGGGCGTGCAATACGTGGGCCTTGATTGAGCCCGAAGTCTTTCTACTTTAAATCAAATGATGATGGACGTGACAGATATTTCTTTTTTAACACGCACTAAACGAATATCAACCTGAAATACGTTTTAAAATTCTTTGAATTCAAATTACTGCTTGAAATACCTTTTAAAATATGTAATTGATTGAATGTAAACAAGTTTGAACTGTGGTACTTAAGACAGAGGTGTAGGTTGTACGTTTTGGTTTTCCAGCCAAAATGTCTTTTTATTTACTCCCCCAGCTTTCGTCTAAGGGTGCTGAACAAGAAACATCTGTCAGAAAGAATAGTTATTTGGAAGTTCAAGTACTAAGCACTTATCCACGTATTTGACCCGGTTCCGCCTAATCTTGGTTTGAATTTACATTTCTGCGTGTAGTGCCTTTCAAAATCTGTAGTTAATCGAATATAGACAGGTTTGAACTGTGGTCCGTTCACCTGGCTTCGCTTTTCATCAACCCCCTAACACAAGTAGTAGGTTTTACTTTTGGCGCTTCCAGGCAGAATCTTAGGCTTGTTTGTTCACCCAGCTTTCATCAAAGGGTGTGATAAAGGAAGCATTGGTCAGATCCGTCGTTTGTTTTAGAGTAGAACGATTTCGGACTTAATTAAGTCCCCCCGTATAGTACACTGATCCTTGTACATTCGATATTTTTCAATCTTCGATCCTTAGCGTCAGTGATGATCGACTTCCTTCGGCCGGACAATATATGAAAATGTTAATAACCTCGCAAAGTTTCTCGGCCCCCTGTAAATATTTCACTTTCGGCCAACTTTTCCCAATAAAAGGGCCAAAGTCAAACAGTTCAAAAGAATACAGGCTCCGGACCGAAGGATCAACAGGATTTTCCATCCTATCACAAATTAGACCGACGAGGGTCAATTATTTCACAAATCCGGTGAGCTTAGACGCCGGATTTTCAACTCCATTGTAGATTAAGTTAATTTGGGAGAGTGTTTCACATGAGAAGCGGACCTTTTCCCAACCCCCAGCCACATCTACCCCTTTCAAACACGCATCTTCGAGTTTCAGGTTTCAACCCCAATTTTCCTCCTCCCGTGTGGGAAAGTTACGCAGATATAAGTGTCACAGTTGGAGAAATAAAAGAAGGGAAAGAAAAAGAAAAAGAAATTCTTCAAGCAGAACACGCAAGTTTCATATTTCGACGCCTTTCAAACGTGGTTAGAGGAAAGAAAGAGTACGTTTAAACTTGATTCTCAAGTCACTGTACAAAAATTTCATGACATTCTGTCCATATATTTTTTTTAAATAGATAGGCTTATGTATAGTTTTAAACTTTGGAAAAAAAATATTTCTTATTTTAAAAAGTAAAAACTTAAAAGGTTACCCAAATGCAAGGTGGCCCCTCCACAAAAGTTAATTTTACAATCTCCATAAACAATCGATAGGTTTTTTTAATGAAATGTTACAACAATGTATTTTAGTTAAACATTCAATTGTTCATCAGTGTAATCAATTTGAGAGAAATCGGCTGAAAGAAATCAGATCCAGAGTCTGATAGTGTACGGCCTTGTCTGGTGAAGCTTCATAAAACATAAACCCTTGAATATCTTCATAAATAATAGACAGAATTTCATGAAATTTGATATAATCCTTGAATTTTCGATCCTTGGTTCACGGCTATATATTTAGCGAAATCGGCTGAAAAGAGCCACTATCGCATGTAAAAGCAAATTGTCTTCTTGGAGGGCCTCTTCGGATATCTTAAATTATTCAACTATTTTTGAATGGAGAAATTTTATGAAATTTGGTTAACATTCGATTGCTAGTTTCGAAACGAAATTTTAGCCAAATCGGTTGAAAAGAATCAGACCCAGGGAATTAAAAAATCGGTTGAAATCCAGGGTCTTAAATTGTACTGTTTAATTAGGGCATGCATCATAAAACATAAAACTTCCAATATCATCCTGAATAATCTCCAGAATTTTATGAAATTTTTAATTTTTGGAAAATATTTGATTTTTAGCCTAGAAACGGAATTTCAGTAAAAATTGACTGAAAGTCAACAGACCCATGGAATTAAAATATACAGTTTCGTAATAGGGCCCCACCATAAGTCATTGAATCGTCAATATTTCCATAAATAAGCTATAGAATTACGCTGAATTTTATCTTTTTGTTTAATATTTGAATGTCTGTCCAGAAACGAAATTTGAGCCACATCGACTAAAAGGAATCAAATCCATAAACATAAAATATGTTTTGTTATGCTCCTCCTATAAGCATAAATCCGTGAAAATCTTCGTAAAATAATAAACTAATTTTGATGGAATTTTGTATATTTGTAAACATTTATTATTTTAATTTCAACCAATACCTTACAAAAAAGAATAATTAATTGAAAGAAGTAATTTGATCAATCAGAGCACTAAAATAATGGATTTATTATTAATTTTAGGAATTAAAGTTGTGCAGATTCGGCCAAAGTTAAAATTTAAAAAAAAATTCTCAGAATTCAATTCTGATAACAATTCTGAACAAATGTTAGAACAAAATTCACAACAAATTCAACAGAACAAATTTTAAATTAAAATTCATAAAGCCGTTGAGTCTTGGTCTAGGAACGAAATTTGAACGAAATTAGATGAAAGAAATCAGATGTACCTGTTACGCAGTTCACACCCTTCCAAAAATCATGAACCTTGAAAATCTCCAAAAATAACGGGCAGAAATTGATGAGATATTGGCCTTTTGTTAAACATTTTATTAATAATTTAGGAAAAACAATTCAGTAAAATCTGCCGGAAGAAACTTAAAGTTAATTATCTTGGTATGGAATCTCTCAGTAAATCATAAATAAGTCAATATATCCATAAATAATGGTCAGAATTCATTGAAATTTGACGAAACTCTTAAACATGTTGTTCTTTACCAGTGTTTAGGTTTTATAACAAAATCGGCTGAAAAAGATCAGGTCCTGAGGCTAAAGTTTTACTCTCTCTTTAAGCGCAACTACTAAATAAACAAAGAGATTCATGAAATTTGTCATAATTGTTATACTCTCAGCGTTAATTTTATTTTAAAAAACTAATCGACAGTGAATGCATTCATCTTTAGGGCCAAAGTGTTGTCAGGGCCCTCAATAAATCCTAAATTTTCCAGTATCTCCTTAAACACTTGACATAATCAGTTGAAAGTTTATGTATTTCATCTCTGATGAAAATTTTAGCTGATTTGGATGTAACCGTAGTGCTCAAAATGTGTATTTCAATGTGGAGTGGCCCCTCCATGAATGTAAAATCTACGAATACGTCCATTAATTTAAACGCCGGTTTTCAGCGAGCTGAATAAAAATAATTTCCCCTTTACAAAAGGGGTCGGGTTTTTACGGATCTACTTTAAAAAAATCTGATAAAACCGGTACGTGTTATCATGCGAAGCTATGTGGGCCCCCAATTTAGGCGAAAAGGACTCGTTACAACGTTTGGAGGGAAAAAATGGGGCCCTCGTTGAATGATTCATGATCCGCGGTTATGATTATTTAATCGTTGTGCGGTCAAAAGCCGGCGCGAAGTCGCAAAGCCCCGCCTCCACACACAAGAGCCATGACAAAAAGAAGTTTTAAGAATGTAGGCAAAAAAAGCACGTACGTTAGTTTAAAATTTAAAGCGATTTGGCAAAGCCTTCAAAATAGGATTTGAAAATGAAAATTTAAAAAAAAACTGCAAGGAAATAGCTGGATTTCAAACGGATTTTAAGCGAACCATGGAATGTTACTTATAAAACAATTAAGTTTAAATTTTATTTTATATTCTATCAATGTTTTGGCGAGATTTATAAGAAATTATGGAGGGGCACCAAGAATAAAATAGACTTTTAAGCCTTAAAGGTAAAAATTCCAGAACCGAGTAGAATTTTGGTAACATGACAAGGAAAATGAAAATTTCAAAAATTCTACCAATTATGTATGGGTTATTAATTAATTTATGTTTTATGGAGTAGTACCTCAGAAGAGTCTTTACACTCTGGATCCGATCTTTTTCGGACGATTTTGGACAAAAGCTTGGACAACGGCCTAGAACCGAATGTTCAAGAGCTCCGTCAAATTTCATAAAGTTCTGGTTCGTTATTTATGTAGATATTCGACCATCCATGATTTACCGAAGGGCCATCTTACAAAACAGTACACCTTTAGACCCTGGATCTGGAAATCCTTAATCCTGTTAGCCGATTTTGCTAAAACCTTTTTCATATCCAAAAAACTGAACTGTACAAAAATTATCTCGAATTTCATGTAATTCGATCGACTATTTACAGAATTATGAATTTATTTAAAGTTATAATAAACTTCTAGCCTCTGGATTTATTTCCTTTCGGCCACTTTTGCTAAAAAAATTTCCATGGACGAAAAACCAAAGGTTTAAAAAATTACATTTTTTTTTTTTATCTGTCGATCTTATATTTATGAGTACACCCAAGGGTTTGTCTTAAGGAGAGCCATCAGACAATACAAAACACCTTTAGTTTCTGGATATAATTCCTGTAAACCGATTCTCCTAAAATTTTGTCCTCAGACCAAGAATAAAATATATTTAATGAATATATTAAATATTATAAAGTTCTGTCGATTATTTATAGAGACATTGCCAGATTTAAGATATATGGAGGGCCTCCCTTACAAAACGGTCCACTTTTCGACCCTGGGTCTGTTTCCTTTCAGCCGATCTTGCTCAATTTTCGTCCACTTGGCGATTGTTAGTCGAATGTTTAACAAACATATAAAATTTCATGAAATTGTGCCCATTATGTATGGAGATAATGATGGTTTTTTTATTAATGGAGGGGCCCCCTTAAAAAGGCAACTCAATTTTAGACGCTACAAGTGTTTCTTTTTTTGCTATATCGATTTAAAAAAATTGGAAAAAATTAAACCGTAAAGATGTAAGAATAATTTCATAACAATCTGCTAATAACTTGCTGTTAAATTTATGATTTATCGAGGTGTCTCTGAACAAAACAATGCACTTTTAGTCTTTGTATCTGATTACTTTTAGCTGATTTCGCTCAAATTCCGACCTAGCCTAGCATTCGAAAGTTGAAAGTTAAACAGAAATAAAAATTTCATAAAATTTTATCCATTATTGATAGAGATATTCAAAGCTTTATGATTTACGGGGGGCTCCCTTACAAAATGGTGCATTTTTAAACCCGATAACTGATTCTTTTCATCCGATTTCGCTATTGTTCATAGATCAAAAACAGACAGTTTAAACAATTTCCCGAATCTCATGAAATTCAATCCACTATTTATGAAGATATTCAATGAGTTATGTTTTTTAGAGGATCGCCAGACGATACAGTACTCTTTTATACCCTGTTTATTATTCTTTTCAGCCAATTTTTGTAAAATTTCGAACCTAGCCTAACAATCGAATGTTAAAAAAAATACAAAATTTCATAAAATTTTATTTTTTATCTTTAGAGATATTGACTCCTTTACCCTCCTCCTTATCGAACCTCAAAGAGCTTTAGTTTCTGAATCTGATTCTATTCCCCGATATTTGCTCAAATTTCTTTCCAAATATAATAATCGAATGTTTAGAAAATATTCAAACTTTCATAAATTCTGGAGATTATTTAGGATGATATTCAAAGCTTTATGTTTTATAGATGGGCTCCCAACTAAACAGTACACTTGGTAGACCCTGGGTCTGATTCCTTTCAACCGACTTAACTCAAATTTCCTTTCTATATCGGAATATTAAGCGAAAAGAGAAAATTTCATAAAATTATAGTTTATGTATGGAGATATTGACGATTATATGATTTATGGAGAGGCAGCACTACAAAATAGTATATTTTAAGTCCCTGGCTCTTGTCTTTCAGGCAATTTTACTAAAATTCCGTTTCTAGACAAAAATCAAAAGTTTAATCGATATACAAAATTTCATAAAGTTCTGTTGATTATTCATGAAGATACTGAAGGATTTATGATTTATGAAGTGGCCACCTCAAGCAATACACTTTCAGACTCTGGATCTGATTTCGCTAAAAGTTTGTGCCTAGACCACCAACAACCAAATGTTTAACAAAAGCATAAATTTACATAAAATTCTGTCTATTATTTGTGGATATATTGATGGATTTATGATTTATCGAGGGCACCAGACAATAGAGTACACTTCTGTCTCTGTCTCTGGTCCTTTTCAGCCGATTTCTCCTGAATTTATTTCCTAGGTTAATCGAATGTTTAACAAAAATAGAAAATCCATAATATTTTGTTCATGTAGATATTGGCGAATTTAAGATTTGGGGAGAGCCTTCTTAATAAGACAACTCACTTTATGTCTTCAACCTCGATTATTTTGAAGAATTAATTAAGAAAGTTGCGTTTTGTTTTGTTTAATTCTCACCTGCGGAAAAGTTGCCGAAGCTCGTCCTGCACGACTCCCCGTCCGCAGCCTCCGCCCCCTGGGTCAAACTCATCTGCAATACAGACCAAAACAACTAGATAAATAATTAATCAATAAGCTAATCATCCCCGTCCCCCCAACTGTGTTTATTTTTCTTCCGGCTTCAACTGAATGAAACTGTCAATTCGGCATTGTTCGCCCTGCCAAGGGCAATTGGTTCATCCCGTACGGTGCTCCCTAGGTTCAACGTTCCAACTAAAAGAAAAAAAAAACTGAATCCCCATCATCGATTAAATCCGGGATAATATAAAGGCTTATTCTAAGCCTAGGCGGAGATCTGGGGGTTTGGGCCGTCCACGTGATCCAGGAGTTATGCAAGCCCGGAGAAAACGTCAGTACTAGGGAGAATTTATTTTTATTCCGTTATAAATACAACATTTTTTATAATTTTCAATCGTCTTGTACACATATCTCTGAAAAACAATATCTGGTGCAAAGCAGCCGCAAAGAGGAGAAAAACCATCTCAGGAGGTGTGAAATCGCATGGAACGACGAACATGTCAGCCTGTCAGAACCAAACCTAGCATCCCTCCTCGAAAAAGAAATAAGAAGCGTATAAAATAAAAATATTTATTGAAACGTTTCAATGCTAGGGTTTATAATTTGTAAACAGACCTCCTTTCAGTTACATACTAAGTTGTTTCTCCCCCCTTCGCAAGTTTACCCCATTTCGGATAAAACCGTTTGTTCCGGATCCTCCATACGGATCATCGTCAACATTTGCGTCGAATCTGTTAATTGAAATCGTCGGTTTATCAGAGCGAGGGATAATTAAACCGAGGGCAAACATTTCCCAGCCACGGATACCGTTTTTGAAACGGAATTTCAACACGTTCTACTTGGAATGAAGGGGAAAAAATGACAGTCAATAACCGTACAAATTGACCTAGGTTAATCATTCAAACCATGATTGACTCCCGGCCTCCCTAAACTACACTTTCATCTCTAATTCCGCCGAAAAAGTACGTGATCCCTATATCAATATCTCTCGCGCAGCTAAATAAAAACTTTTCGTCGAAACCAAGAGGATTTATTCCCCATCTCTCCCCCCAACTAAAAAAATCTAATTAAGCAATTCAAAAATTGCGTAAATATTTTAGATATTTTTCCACAAAGAAACTGCGGTTTTTTGTTTGACTGAGTTTATTAAAAAGCATGAAAGTCCGTAAAAATAAATAACCACACCTTGTAACTAATTTGCAACTCGCTATTTTTCTTTTTCCTTTTTTAAATTTTAATTTATTTTTAATTAGTTCCTTTTGAAATACATGGTTACAACGTTCCGTTCCTAAACTACCAATCAAATTCTACGATATGTACAAATGCACTATTTTTCGTGGTCCGCTTGACCAATTAATACAATTCAATTAATTAAAGTTTTAGGTTGAGATAAAAAAGTCAGTGAAAAATGGCAAAAAGGAGGGCAAATTCGTAGGTGAGGTTGAGATGGGAAGTTAGTGCCCGAGGAGATCGAGGTCTCGATAGCTCAAGTGGTAGAGTAGCGGCGTATCAAGCCGAAGGACGTGGGTTCGAATCCCGCTCGTGACAATGATTTTTTTATCTCAACCTAAAACATTAATTGAGACATATATACAAAATTTATTAATATTACATCAATTATTTATTATTTTTGGAGAGGGCCCCTTACAAAGTGGTTCACGTTTAGAACCTGGACCTGATTTGTTTCAGTCGATTTTGCTCAAATTGCGTTTCAATATGAAATATTAAATTTTTTTAGAAAAATTATGACATATATTCTTTATAGAATGGCATGGCTAGTCATAGCGTAGAATGACATGATAACGGGCAGTAGAACTTCCGTCTCTGGATAATTCCTTTTTGCTTAAATTGCGTTTTCCACTCATTATCTAATATTTGACAAAAAGACAAAATTTCTTAAAATTCTGTCATTTATGCACAGAGATATTGACAGAATTATGTTTTATGGAGGGGGCACCCAACTAGCCAGTGCACATTGAGCCTCTGAATCTGATACCTTCCAGAAAATATAGTCTTCGTTTCTAGACGAAAAGTAAAAGTTTTAATTGAAAGACAAATTTTCATAAAATTCATGTTTTTTTAAGATGGTTGATATGATTTATGTTTTTGAGTGGCTGAGTGGCATCGCGAAGGGCACTACGTTTTCTCCGTGGTTTCATCGTATTTGGCTAAAATTTTGTTCCTAAACCAACAATCGAATCTTTAAATATACGAAATTAAATAAAATTCTATCGATTATTTTTGAAAATATTGTTAGATTTTTTATTTATAGACTGAACCCTTTTGTCCCGGGACCGTATTGCTGTGAGCAGATTTCAGTCAAATTTCTTTTTTAAACTAATAATCGAATGTTTAACAGAAACAAAATGTTATATAAAATTATATCGTTTATTTATGGAGGGGAACATGAGAGGAGAGTAGAATTGGAAGCCCTGGGTCTGATTCCTTCTGGCCGATTTGCTTCACTTTACTTCCTGGCCTAACAATCAAATCCTTAATAAAAATACAAAGTTTCATTTCATTCCACTGATTGTTTGTGAAGATATTCAATGATTTGCGTTTTGTGGACGGGCCCCCTTACAAAACAGTCCACTTTTTGGACCCTGGATCTGATTCCTTTCAACCGATATCGGACAAATTTTATTTCTAGACTAACATGTGACCATTAAACAAAAAGAGAACATTAGATAAAATTCTATCGGTTGTGTATGGAGATATTGACGATTATATGATTTACGGAACAGCCCCCTTACTATACAGTTCACTGTTAGGTCCTGGATCTGATTCCTTTCAGCGGATTTTGCTATAAATTTGGCCATAGATGATGAACTAAAGGTTTAAAAGTTGCATAAAGTTTTTTATTGAATCTGTCCATTATTTATGAAGACATCCAATGGTTTATGGCACATGGAGGGTCACCAGACTTTTAACCCTTGGATTTGATTACTTTCAGCCAATTTCGTTGAAATTGCGTTTCTAGTATAACAACCAATCGTATAACAAAAATTGCACAAAATTCTATTCATTAGATATAGATATATGAAGGAATTTACAATTTACGGATTTGGAGGAATGCTGGAAGAAAATTAGACCATTTATGTTAGAGGAAAAATTCTCTCTATATTTTTTTAAATATTCTATATTTCCATATTCGGGCATTAATAAGTCTTTAATGCTCCTTAAAATCTTTATACCAAATTTTATTACATTTTGTTAATGCTTCAACTGAATGTATAATAAAATACGGAGAGGCTCCCAAAACAAAACAAATATTAGTCCCTAAAATTAAATACAACCCAAGGCGAAAAAAATCTGTTTCAAAATGTAAAAAATATTGATAAATTCTATCAAATATTTATGGCGACAGTGCTTGATTTTGTGATTTATGGAGGGGCCCCCTGGAATGAAATGCATATTAGGCCCTAGAGGTGAACGCTTTCACCCGATCTCGAAAAATCTTGAGGATAGAATTAGATCTGTATATTTAACAATGCCAAATTTCTGGAAATTCTATCGATTACCTTCAAAATACATTACACTTTTAGTCGCTCGATCTTATCCCTATCCGTGGATTTTTCTCAAATTTCCATCATAGACTAACAATCGAATATTTGACACATATATAAATTTTCATAAAATTCTGTCGATTGTTTGTAGAGATATTGGCAAAATTATTTCTTAAGGAGGTGCCCCTACCAGCAAGACTGTATACAGTTGTAGTCTTTAGATCGGATCCATTTCAACCGATTTTGCTCAAATTTCGTTCCTTGACTTATTATCAAAAATAACAAATTTCATACAATTTTGTCGATTGTTATGGAGATATTGATATTTATGCATCATGGAGTGGACCTCAGATAAGTAGAACTTTATGTCTCCGGATTTGATTTCTTTCAGCAGATTTCGCTAAAATTTCGTCCCTCAACTAAAACTCGAATGTTTAACGAAATATAAAATTTCACAAAAATTTCTGTCATTTATTGTTATATTAAAAGATTTATGATTTATGGAGGGGCTCTCTTTTTACAAAACAGTACGTTGTGAGTCCCTAAATCTGATCCGTTTCAACCAGTTTGGCTAAAGCCTCTTCTTACATTCCAAGAACCTGATTATAACGAAATTGGTTTAGTTCATAAAGACATGTCTATTATTTATAGATATATGAACGAATTTAAAGTTTATAGAGCCGCACCTTCAAAAGGCTGTACATTTAATCGGATAATATTATAATATTTAACAAATATGCAAAATTTAATACAATTCAGTAGATTATTTACGGGGATATTCGATGTTTTATGGAAGCCCCCAAACAGAACTGTCACTTTTCAGATTTGTTCCACCAACAAGATTATCCAGCCTTTAGATTTGATTCCTTTCAGCCTATTTCGTTATAATTTCGTCCCTAAACTAACACTCGAATATTTAAGGAATTTTGCAAAATTTCATAAAATTCTATCGATTTATTATTGATATTGTTTGATTTATGTTTTGTGGTATTGTACTTAAGAGGACAATAGAACTTTAATCTAATTCCTTTCAACAGATTTCGCTTAAATTTCCTTCCTAGTCTAACAGCTCAATTTTTAACAAACGCTCAAAATTGTATAAAATTCTGCCTACTATTTTTAACGATAATGATGGATTTAGGATTTATGGAGGGGTACTCCAAACATTACAGTACACTTTTATACCCTGGATTTGTGTGTGTGTGTGTGTGTGTGCGTGTTTGTGCCTATAGCCTATGTAGTTTTTTTTTTTTTTTTTTTTTTTTTTCAATTTACCTTTTTATAGATTTTTGTTTATTTTTTTATTTGTTTTTTAGCCGAATCGCGCTCTGAATGGGAAAAAATCTTTCGGTCGAAATTATCCCACCCTCTCCCCCCTGGGTGGTAGGGGGAAAAAAATTACGTAACCTCCTTTCCTCGGGGATCCTCGTCGCCGGTCTGCTGGCAGCTCGCGTCGACACCGACCACTGACTGGTTGCTAGCAGAGATGCTGGAGGAGGCAAACTCGGCCGAGAGGGGATGCGCCGCCCCACCGGCCTTGCTTCCCAGAAATTCCCCCTTTTATCCCGGGGGTGGGCTGTCTTCCACAAGTCCAAACTAAAAAATAAGCCTATGTTAATATTGTTATTTATTTACGTGGCCTTAACCATAATCTGATCGATGCTTCTTTATTTTTACGAGGTACTTATTCAACATAAGCAGTGTGTGCAATTTAATCATGTTAATTTGACCTGAGTGCCTAATCCATCATCGAAAAGTTCGTCCAAGCCTGACTTATACGCAATATTTACTTAATCTGACAGATGCTTCTTTGTCTTTAGTCAATATGTACTTAATTCTCGGTAAGCCGAGTGTAAATTTCATCCAAGTAAATTTGTCCTAAATGAACATTTCATCTTCAAAAAGTAGTTCATTCTACTCTGTATGAAATTTAATTTGGCATAAGCTTCTTTATTTTCACGTCGTACTTGATGATGGGTAAGAAAGATTTTACGTTTAACATAACGCACTGACCTGTATTGATACTTAAAATAGAAAATGTCCACATCGACTTTAGTATTAAGCGTTGTACCAATGATCACGGAGGAAACTAAAGTATGTAAAATGTCCACTGTCCAATCCAACCCCCCCCCCCAAATATTGTCTATAGGTCGTATTATCTTCAAGGCTTCTTTGCATACAATCATGGTTCTATGAGAAATATGTCCTTAATGAAACTTAAATTTTAGGATAGGCCTGGAAGGTTCACCCTGAAGTCAAGTTTTTACCATGCTACCCATAAATTACAAAGTAAGAATCTTCATTCTCACGGAAGCATTCTACTAAATAAGGATAAAATGAATACAAAGCAGACAAAATTGGCTGATCTGCGTTTGTTAACTGAAATTACTTTTATTCTGATTGTATAGAGCATATTATTAGGCTAAAGGAGGCTTTTTATTTTTATCTTCAGTCCTTAACGATGAGTTTTTCTTCGAGGATTTTCATTTTTAATTGTACACTTAAACTTTGAAACTAATCACCTAATGATGCTTGATATACGATACACTTCGTCTTGGGATGGTACTTAATCTCTCAATAAGCCCCGGTTCGGGCGCGGTACAACTTTAAAAGTCAAAAGTGGACCGGGAAGTTTTAAGGGTCCGCCCGGCCCAGGAGGTGCTTCCTCGGTCGAAAACTCACGGGGGGAAATTTATAATTAGACGGATCCTTTCGAGTGGCAAGGGGGAGGGGGAGGAAACATTTTTATAATATATATGGTAACAACCCCTTGTTATCCCTGAATTTCTTAAGTGGGTGCTCGTCGGATTTCGTTATCCAAATCCTGACCGTGTTTATGAAGAAAAAAAACTGGGTAAAAAGGAAAAATCTACCCTTTTAAGACCCCCACTGGGGTTGAAGATAAAAACAATTTTCCAAATTGGTGAAGAATAATACGGCTGGGGGTAGGATCGGTGGCGGGGATGGGCCTGCTGCTTGCTGTTGTTCCAACATGATAATCGGACCGTAAACTCATTGCATATTAACAGACGATGGATGTTGAATAGGGACGAATTTCACTCAATTTTTTCCCCTTTTTATTGACCTAATTGACCATTTTTTCTTGAAAAAATCGACTGCCAAATGAAACTTTGCATACTTCATTTTAAAATGGCGAAAAGGGGCTTTTTGTTTCGAAAAATTAAAAATCCTCTTCCACGCCGGATAATTCTGAATCTAATTAATTATGTAAAAAACGGCCGAAACGGGATTTCGACGTCTGACCGGTCAAACTGAAGAATGACAAAGAATTTTAAAAACCGACCAACAACAACAACGAAAGAACGGACTATACCAACATTCATTATAACGCGGAAAACGCCCAGTATTAATAAATACAGCATACAGTTAAGGATGATTTTTATGGGAAAAGCTCGAAATTCAGCTTACCCAGCTTTAAGGGAATCGTCAAACTAAAGAAGAATCCTTTAAAATAATAATACGTTCCATAGAAAACATACCAAACTTTTTGAATTCAATTCCTGAATTGAAGAACCTCTTACGCAGTTAATCTAACTTAAATAACAACGTAAGTATAAAGAAGTATTCATTACAATAATCACGTGTAAATCAGAGTAAACGCACTTTTTAAACTTAGAGGTTAAATTCAGTAGATTATCCCAGGAGAAAACCTCTACTGCTGCTAATCAAGCCAAAATAACAAGGTAAAAATAAAGAATGTATTGCGTGAATATAATAATAAAAGTACTGTTTTGAAACTCCGAAGATAGATTTAATCCTTTAACGCAGTAAGAAGCAAACCCACCCAAACTAACAATGTGACAATAAAGAAGCATTTCTCAAAATTACGATGTGTTCCATAAAATTTGATTAAATTAATTTTATTTTACCTCAAGGATGGATTTTGTGGGATAGTCCTTTAAGAAAACTATATTGCCTTATACCCAAGCTTTAAGAAATACGTCAAAATAAAGAAGCATCCTTTAAAATAATAATAAGTTCCAAAGAAAACATAGTAAACGCGCCTTTTTTGAAGTAGGATGTTCGAGGCGAAAACCTTGGAAGAAATAAACCATCAAAATAATGATGCGCTCTCAAAGAAATAAGTCAGTTTAATTTTTATGAAGGAGATCATAAGTTTTAGAAATGTTTCCTTATTTTTATATTGTTATTTACGCTAGGTTAGCAGCGTTAGAGGATTTCTCTTTGATAACCTATTGAATTCATTCCTAAAGTCATATCAATATGGAATATAATATTTTTATGAATGCTTCTTTAATCTAAGAAAGTTATTTATGCAAGGTTATCGGCTTACAAATGAGAAACACAACCAAATCTACTTCAAAGGTTCAAAAAGTGCGTACAGTCTGTTTTGCATGAAATATATATTTTTATTATGAGTAATGCTTCTTTATGTATATATTATTATTTATGAAAGAGTACCAACAGAAAAATCTTTGGTCAAGGTGGGAAAAATCCTTCTCAACCTACCATTAAAGTTTTTAAAAAAGTGTAAAATAGTCGGTTTTCAATGGAATATATTGTAATTATGATTTTATGAAGAAAGGTTCTTTCGTTTTATATTCTTATTTAAGCTAGTTTATTAGGTTAAAATTTCTTTTCCTAGGATAAACTATTGAATCCATCCTTAAAGCTCCGTGCGTTTTGTCCGTTCTGCTTGGAATACAATATTATTCTAAAGGATGATTACTTATTTTGATGTAGTTCTAGCTAGCTAGACCTATAAGTTAGGATAGCTTATAAAGTTCTGGGCATATAGTCGTGTAGATCTTCCCCGGTCAGCATACTTGTTCATTATCCAAAATTCCTTTTGCCCTGGTGCCAAAGATATTGTCAAATTGTGTTTTCCTGGGTTTTGGGTATGACCTTTGATGGCCGTTTGCTGTGTAAATTGCCAATTTGGATGTGTAAGCAAAAATTGGACTCAACTAATTTTTATTACAGCAATTATTGTACCTCAAGGATGGATTTTATCCGATGAGATAAACTTACTGCCTAATACCCAGCTTAAAGGACAACGTCAAACGAAGCACCCCTGAACATAAAAAACATAAAGGAAAATCTTTCCAAAAAATAAGTTTCTTTAATGACATATGGTCATGTACATATGCATAAAAGATATGTCTTATGAGGGTGCGTCCTGTAGACAATGTAGGGGAGAGCGAATTTTTACACACTTCAGTTTCCTCCATGATCAATGTTACAAAGCTGAACACTAAGTCCAAGTGGAAAATTGGTATTTGTGAATACGAGTACGTTGCAAAACTTGTTTCTATTATAAAAACCCCGATATCCTGCTTACCCAGCATTAAGCCCGTTGTAAGGATAAAGAAACATCTGTCAGATTAAGTTAATATTTCATGTCGATCGCAATGAATGGATGTACTTTTTGAAGATGAAAGGTTCATTTAGGCCTAATTTACTTGGATAACTTTACTCGGCTTACCGAGAATTAAGCACTTCGTAAAAATAAAGAACCATCTGTCAGATTTTGAAAATAAATCAGACCCAACCTTTGAATTCTTCTGCATGGAATAGGCGGTTGGTCAATTTATAAAATAAATATTTTATAATCCAGGAAATGACACTAATAAAAAATTAAAAAATAAAGCTGCGGGAGGGATATTTGCACATTAAAAATAGCCCTGAACTAATTGTTGTTTTGCATTGGCAATTTTTCCCGAATGTCACACGGTTAAAAAAAAATCGTTCCAAATTGTTTAAACAATCAGGAAAAAAGGGTTGTTAATAAATGAGGTGGGGGTGGGGTGGGTCAAAGGGCTAATTACGGGCCGGCTAATGTAGAACGTTGCATAACAACGGATTTCCTTTCTATTCCGTTATTGTCATTATTGTTTTATTCATTTCAACCCCCAGGTTTGTCTTACGTAATTTAATTAAACTGCCTCGTCTTTGAATTTACGCCCGGTTGTTCAAAGCCGGTCAATTTTGTCGGGTTCGACGATTGTCCGGCGAATTAAGTAATCGTAATTGTGCCACGTGGAGTGACAAATTTCACAAGCAAGGCACAAACTTACAGATCTTCTTGATTTTAAGACTGTTTTCAAAGCTAGACGAGCAGTTCAAGAAAGATTTAAACCGAAAAACCATCCTAGACGCATCCTCCTGTCTTCTTTTAGCATGTAAATGTGTCTTATTTTCAATAAATCATTACCTCTATGGAGAGGAGAAAGTTAGCAAATTGCTACCACCTCAGGTAGACAACTATTCTGAGTAAGTTGGCAATATAGCTGTCATCTCAAGTAAGTCACTGAGTTATGTAATTTGCTAACATTGTACAATATCAAATAATAAACTTTGCTGAGGAATTGGGCAACATTGCTACCCCCTGATTTCATATCAGTAAAGATTATTATTTCATCATCAGATCATTATTTTCTAAATTTCACTTTTTTTCTTTTTTTTCATTGAAGGAATTTTTATGTGAATCAAAATAGTTTAATATTTTATGATAACTTAGGCTCGAGGAACCAAGAAAATGTAGCTGTAAAGGTTTTTTTTAGTTTTTTTTTATGTTTAACTGCATTAGAGAATAATTTTTAAGTTTTTTTCAC